CAGCCCTTGTTAGAATAAAAATCACACTGACACAGAATTTTGGTTATTGGGCAAAATTTTAGACCACAACTTTATTGATTACAGAAATGTGAGCAGTATTGGCAAAGGACTATATCGGACTCCTGCCCGCTTTGCAGGAAGTCAATAAGGGTAAACCACCCAAAGAGGAAGCCACATCGGGGGAACCCGCCTGTAGCTCTCCTCGGTGTCCCCAGAGGCCTGGCATGGCCCTAGCCCCTCAAGCAGACATCAGGCAGGATCCAGGCCCTGCGTTCCTTTAACAGAATACCCTTGGTCAATGGACCCCTCCCTCAGTGAGCCAATGCCTAACCGCCAAACCTTACAAAGTTGTGACGAGGTAGGCTAAGAGGTAAGCGAAAACCAAGTGGCCATTGCCAAATGGAAAAATTCCTACCTGGCCCCCATGCCAAGACAGGCAACCAACCAAAGTCCAAAGCAAGGCCAGAGGGCATCTAAAATAAAGGGCGGGTGTTCAGCAGCGTGAAGCAGATGCCTGACACGTGTCATGCTGCCACTTTTATACCTTCCCCCCCACGAACACCCCACACAAAAGTGGTTGGCCAAGATGCCGGGGTGATCGTGGTGCCACCCTGGCATGATGGCATTACTCCGCCCATGCTGGGGGGGAGGAACCGGCCTGGGAGCCTGCCTGCAACCAGGACTATCCTTAAAGATGATCCCACTTGTCAGAACCCAACAGGGTTGTCAGCATAAAGGGCTGATCCTTCTGTAGCAGTGAGCAGCCACATGCAGTTTTTACCCTCTGACACATTCCTTTTGGCTGCTGCCTAAAGGTTGTCACCTGTAGCGCAGAACCTTCAATTTGAGGAGAACTGGACTGAGATAGGAGAACAATGGTGCTTAGTTTCCTGTCATTCCTGTAGGTGAGCCTATTGTCATTTAACATATTTGGACCTGTACTTGGAGGAGCTGCATATATTAACTATAGTCGATGGTCTACCTTCAAATAACATGGGACATAATTATGCATAAATGAATTGGCTTCACTATTACAGTAAAGATCTTTATATTTTGAAAATTACCTGGGGGGGGGGGCGATTCAGGTGCTGTTTATCCTTCTAGGCCCCCTTTTCAGAAATGTTGCCAACACGCAAGAGCACTTTGATTCTCTGTGAACACTCGAAGCTAGTCCTGGGCTGCTAAGCTGAACTATGAATGGTGAAATTTGTCTCTTTTGTTTTCTCCTTTTTCCAGTTCATGTATTCATTCGCAGAGGGCACATTAGATAGGTCTGCATTATAATGTGAAGTGAGCACATTTCCCCCAATCCCTGGGCTAAGTGTGCTTTTGTCTCACAGGATAACAGTGACCAGATACAGCCCACTTACTGTAGGTCAAAATGGTCCAGCTAAATTCAGCCCCATAACCATTTTGCCAAGTATTTAACATGAAGCAAACATGTTAGTTAGTTATACAAGTTAATAACTACTGATATTCAAGTTATGGGGTGTTATATATATACCGTATTTTTCGTCCCATAGGACGCACCTAGTTTTTTGGGGGGGAAATAAAGGGATTTCCCCCCCAAAAGCAGGTCGGGGAAACCAAACCAGGTCGAGGAACAGCGGGATGGTGGCGCTGCGCCTCCCTGCTGTCCCCCGAGCTTGTGGGGCTGGCTGATGTCTGCCCGGCGCGAGGGGCGCTCTGCTTCAGGGCGCCCCGCCCACCGGGCGGCAGGCTGCTATCCGCAGCGTGGGGAGCCCTGCGGGGAACTCCTGCAGGGCTCCCCACGCTGCGGATGTCTGTCCGGCGGGCGGTGCGCTCTGCTTTCAGGGTGCCCCACCCCCCGGGCGGCAGGCTGCTATCTGCAGCCTAGACAGCCCTGCAGGACCTCCCGCAGGGCTGCCTAGGCTGCGGATGTGTTCCCGAAGCGCCGGGCGCTCTGCTTTCTCCGGGAAGCAGGCTGCTATCCGCAGCCTAGACAGCCCAGCGGGACCTCCCGCAGGGCTGCCTAGGCTGCGGATGTTGTCCCGAAGCCTGGAGAGCGAGAGGGGTTGGTACGCACCGACCCCTCTCACTCTCCAAGCTTCAGCGAAAGCCTGCATTCGCCCCATAGGACGCACTCAGATTTTCCCTTCATTTTTGGAGGGGAAAAAGTGCGTCCTATAGGGCGAAAAATACGGTATATATAATACTATGTCCTGCTATGCTGAGTACTGTAAGTGAGCTCATCATAGGGACAGGATAACCAAGCAAAGCACAATTAGAGGCTTGTTTTTCATCATGAAGCCCAGTGCAAAGGAGAACTTTAAAAACCCACAGTGTTTTTATACATAGCAGCTATTATTAATGAGCACATAAAGCAAGGGTCCCTTCACCATAAGGAAGCAGAACAGCCCTGCGCCTACCCCTCCACTGTTGGATCTGGCTCTCTAAAGAAGCTTAGCTTGTAGTATAAAAGATACATTACAATCTTGACTGAGGTGCTACTCCTTTGGGATTCCTTGACCTTCTTTCTCTGCAGCAGAGTCTCAACACGGGGCTTTCCTTCTGACTGGATGATCAGGAAGCAGAAGACTTATTTTCTAAAATGCATCAGCTGAGATTCTACTTTCTGTTCAGCCAGCCAGAAGGAAAACACTCTGCTTAAAATCTACATAGGAGCGCAGAGGTCAAAGCAGCCTTGGGAGAATTGCAAGTTTAAGTTCATAATGCATCTTTTATGCCAGCCTTACATACATCAGTAAGAAAAATTCTGCCCATCACCTTATCTGGTTGGCTTCCACTAGCAAAAAGGGATGGTCTCTGTTAAGATAATAAAGAATACAGGGACAATAGTAAAGGATATAAGGTGTTTGGTAATACTTTTAGCTTGAAGAAAAGGTCCAGAATGGTAGTTCTCTTAGAAAAATAATAATGGGAGCAAACAGTACTATTAGTTGTAAAGCTAAGCTACATAAAGGCTATTTGCAGTGCTGGATTTACATATAAGCTAAACTAGCTTAGGGCCCCACTCTCTGGGAGTCCCCAAAAAAAATTAAAGGGAAAAAAACCTGGATGTTCATTTCCAAAATATAAGATAAAAACAAATAAAATAAAACCTGCATACAGTTAGAGCTTAATAATTATTTCACTATTAATATACTTCTTAATTGTATTTCAGTTCAACAATTACTTTGATAAAATACATATTTTGTTATGTGCAAATGACTTTAGATACCTATTAGGTCCATAAATTACCATATAGCATATATTCAACAGAAAAAACCGCGACAATTTGTTGTTGACAAAGGACAGCTGGACATATTACCTTCAGTAGCTTAGGGCCTCATCAAACCGAAATCCAGCCCTGGCTATTTGTGATCATTTTTAAGCTGAAGCCCTAGCAGTGACTTTCTGAATTAGAGGATAATTTTGATAGCTAAGAAATGGGAATTGAGGTGCAACAATCTTGTTAAAAATGTGGGTTTTTTGCAAAGGCTATAAAGAAGATAAAAAAGCCAGTTCTATGGAATAATTTTTGAAGGTCATTTAAAAAAATGTATCTATACCCTGTTAACTAGTGTCTGTAGGACAAAGCCACATTGAGTTGGTTAACATTAAAGGGTCTTACAGATTTAATATTAAGTGTCATTTTGTGGGGTGGAGAGATTTATATACCGTATTTTTCGCACCATAGGGCGCACTGGACCATAGGGCGCACCCAGTTTTTAGGGGGGGAAACCAATAAAAAAAATCTCCCCCCCCCAGCCCCAAAGAGCAGCGTACAGGCTGCGCACAACCTCTCCCTGTGGGAGGGGTTGCGCGCAGCTATGGAGCAAGCCAAGGCAGGGGGCGGGATGGATCCCGCTCGCTGTTTAGGCTTCCCCTTTAGCCCCACACAGCCTCCCCCTCCCGGGAGAGGCTGCGTGGGGCTAAAGAATCCATAGCCCCGTGCAGCCTCTCCTTGCCGGGAGACGCTGCGCAGGGCTTTCCTGGGAGGTGGGGGGATTCCCTCACCTCTCGCAAAAGCCCGCAGAAGCCGTGCAACCCCTTTAAAGAGATCGCAGCTTCTCCTGGCTTTTCTGGGAGGTGGGAGAAGGGACTGATGCGGCCAGTCAGTCCCTTCTCCCCCCTGTGGAAAAGCCCGCAAGAGCGCACGGAGCTTGTATGCAGCTCTTGGGGGCTTTTCCCGCCTGCCTCCCCCTGCATTTGCTCCATAGGACACACACACATTTTCCCTTGCTTTTTAGGAGGGAAAAAGTGCGTCCTATGGTGCGAAAAATACGGTATTTATTTACCTTTGTGGTATAATTTGCTGGCTAACTTGGTACTGCTTTTCAGTGTCCAGTTCATGACAATTGACCCAGGAAAGGGTCTTATCTCTTATCTTGGCATTATTTATTATTTACATATTCTTTCCTGTCCCTTCTAATTTACTTCTCATGCACCTCTGGTACTATAAGGTGATAAACGGCTTTTTAATTTACTTTGTTCAACCATGTGCATTTGCTATTCACTGCTAGAGATATGACCCAAAGTGCACTGACAACAGATAGCTGGATCCTTTCTGAAACTTCGAGGCCATTATTCTAAGGATAAAGTGAGGATTACACCAGAGCAGAGTGAAAGGTCCCATCAAAATTTATGAAGCCTAGAGGCCAAATTGTATTTCTTTCAAGTACTATTGTATTGTAAACTAGCCAGAATTGTGTCTGTCTGTGGTCTATGCAGCAGCAATCTATGTAAGCATAATCTTTGAAGTGTCCCCAAATTTGGAATAGAATTGTTATTATTTCTTGCATACTGGGGTAAATATGATGATGGACATAATGTTCATTATGTGTGCAATAAGACCTGATTTGAAATGCTTAGATTCTCTGCATAGGTGCTACAGATTCATGGCCAAGATCAAACATCACAATAGTAGATGTGATGGGACTTCCCTTTACTCCCTTCTGAGGCCCCCTCCACCCCCAACTTTGTGCCCTGTTGAGGGTCCCCTAGCCTCCACAGCAGATTATTTAGGGGTGGTGGGAGCTTGGGGGAGGGGGAGAGGAAGTAGAAATCCCATTTGCCTGAGCAAAAATCCATTGCCCAAGTGGACTGACCTTGTTGGATATCACCCATAAAGACATGATATGGTATGCTTACCTTTACCCTTCTTCTTGAGAAGTGAATATTTTGTGGGTTGGAATGCAAAATATGCTGCTGTTACATGCTCCAACTCATTCATTTTTTACTTACAAGCCCTGCAAACAGAGTTCCATAATATAATTCAGAATTTTAAATTAGTCATTTACAAAGAAAAATAACCTGCATTTTTTTTAGACCAAACACCACCACTCCATTTGGAAATAACCCATCACAGTATACTTTTGTCAAGACCAACCCAAATGTCACAAAGTTGTGAGCAAGCTTTCAAGTTCTCCAGAATTTTTATCACTTACACGTGCCCATTGCTGGACTCGACAAGGAGGGAGCATAGGTCCTACAGCACTGCTCCACACCAGGATTTCATAGTGGGGCAAGATCCTGATGTCAATTTACTAGGGTAATTTATAGAAATGTTTAGATCCTTTAGGAAGCTCTATAGCCAAACTTGCCAGTGCTTGCAATGTGTTTATTACATGGTAGTTCTGCTGATATATCTGGCTGGTATTACTAACTTAACATTTATTTGGATTTTGAATTTGTATAATATCATGGAATGCTAAGGTGACATATGGCGCATTGGGCTTCTTGTTAGCTCATCACCAATCATTGTTTTGCTTTTTTTAGCCATTGTTATTTTAATCAAACCTACACTGACTTTGGAGTGAAGCCTTCCTGCATCTCATTGCTAGAATGCGCCAACAGAAAAGTTCATAGTAGAAGATGTGAAATATTTAACTGGAGCACAGGAAAACAATTTGTCATTATTCCTCTGAACTAAAACTGCATGTTTATAAGCTGAATGATGTCCTTGCTCTCAGCAGGATTGAATTTGCCTTATCCACCCACCTTCTTGGACTTGATAGAGACTCAAACTGTTTTCTCCCAGGGGGAAAGGACAGCCAGTCGTTTGAGCAGGAGTGTGTCATGGGAGGGGACAGTCCAGTATTTAAAGTTACACTGCCACCCCCTTCTCCCTCATTTTGTCTTGCCCCTCTATAGTGGGCTTTGCCGAGCCACTTTTGGGGTGGGTTGTTGAGAAGGAGTTTAGAGGGAGCCCCTGGTTGAGACTTAGGACTCCCTGTTTTTATCTACTTCGCACTGTAGGGTATCTTGTGGTGATTTGGTTAACTTGGCTGTTTGGCATTCAGTGCTGGCAGGTAAGAAGAGATAAGATGTCACTGCCACCCTGAGGCATTATGGTGGTAATAGGCACTCGTGAGTCATCATCCATAGTCTGAGGTTTGTTGGTACTTGAAAGAATGCTAAGGATATGGTTTGCACATCATGATGAATGCCCCGCAGGAAGAGTCAAGTCTGCAGGTTGGGTTTCACATACCCAAGGCTTGCTCAGCAAAAAGGAAGATTTTTCTCCCAGTCCTTGGCTCCCAGTTCTGGAACTCACAATGCAATGGCTTACATTCTCATGAGATAGAGGGTTGCTTCTCTCATATGCATTTATCGATTCCACCTGCCTACACTTAATTATTTGCTTAACTGGCAGACCCTCTAATTTTGCTACATTTTAATAAATATAATATTTTTACCATTTAGTCAGCTGTCTTGAATCGTCTTTCAGGGTGTGAGGGCAATGGGCCGATTTGCTCTGTGTGTTTAAAAACAATAATTGCAAACTTAGCCTCTTCTGGTCTCAATTGTAGTGTGAGATGTACATGAATTCTATTTCATTATAATCATTTCAACTTAAACACTGGGTTCTTAATAAACAATGTGGAATTGATGAATCCTTTTATATTATTACTGCCTTTTCAAACACCATCATAATTCAAAATAATAAAAATGCTATTTCTTTAGCATTTTTATTCTACTCACCTACTCCCTTGAAATCTGCTGCTTAGATACAAATGACTAGAATTGTCTCTATTCACATTTCTTTCTATTGTTCCCAGGAAAGAGAGCCTCTCTATGCCCAGATCAACAGACCTAAGAAATAGCGTTGACCCACGCTTGTGGTGCTTCAAGACTCAAACAGAAAACTACAGCCTTGACAGGCCTTTGGCTCCCACATTTTCTTGCAGTTGATCTCATCTAATAAAGGATAATCACCTCACTGCATCAGTTCAACAAGCAAAATGTTTTGGCAACCAGTGGCAACTCTCTATGGCAGAACATGACACTTTTGTTTTGTTCCACAGTTCTGATATTCAAGCAAAACCTTTCCTCAAGTTTCAACTATCCAACATATCCCACCACGCCATTTCCAGTGCACCACATTATGGAAGTAATCAGTTCAAATCTGTTAAAGGACTGCTAATCATTTAATAATATAAAAAAGCAGGAAAAAAACCATGAATTCTACAGCCATTGAGCTCTGTGGCTGCACATTTTGATGATATGGTGACTTTTTATCACCATATTAGACTGATCTGGCTCCCCACCACCACCGCCCAATACTACTCCATAATGGCATATTTGAAGGTGTGTGTGGGGGGGGACAAAGTATTTGAGTGTTCCATTCTATCCCCTTTTCTTACAGACAGGTGACAGACTCTAGCAGCAAAACGCCTCCTGTGAAAATTATCCTTAACTTGAAACCATGGATTGCCATTCTGCTGATTATCCATCTTGATTGGGAAACGTTGCCAAATGGACCTTTTGAAATTACAGTACATCAAAGAGATGAAATGCTGCTTTTTTGTTTTGAATACTTCTGCTGTGGGTAGAAAAGGACATCAAATATTTTGATGAAGAAAAAGACTTAACAGTGTTATTTCCTAGGGGACTCTTAAAACAAAGACCAGTAAAGGAATATTTTTTATTTCTTTGATATCTTGCTGCTGTAATGCTATGCAGACAAGTGTTTTTCTTCTCTGTGTGCCATTTTTGAAGAGAGAGAGAGAGAAAAATTGTTTGCCAAATACTTCCAGTATGCTTTCTGGATTTGATTGGGATGGACTTTATTAACCAAGATGAAGATGGCATGAATTTTGAAACTGATTCTGTGATCAAATTGTTCATCTTTATCACTTTTTGTACATCAGAAAAATTCAAATGGGATTTTTATTTTATAACTTGAAATTAAAAAGGAAAAAAAACTTACCATAAAACTCTTTAAATGTTTAAGGGGAAATGGCTTTAAGGAGTTTGAATGAAATTTGCCAGGTTTTTTTTTTGTAAATATAAAATGTTATGAGAATTCTTTTAATAATGCCATGACACTGTAGAGAAGGTAGCAAATGGCAGTACTTTGGAAGTGTGGAAACCCCCAGTCTGTGGCTCTTGCATCTCGTATGGTTTCCCCCCCTCCCCACATGCTTATAATAAAGTGCATTTCCCAGCAGCAATTAGGTTGTCAGCAACTAGTAAAGTTGATGGGTAACACATGATTTATTTTCTTGCTTTTATGACACAAATTACTACATACTGTACATTTTCAAGGGAAAAAAGTTCATTCCATACCCATTTCATAGCTAGAAAATAAAAAATCAAAACTGTTTACACACAACTCAGAAACAACTTTTTAAAAATTCTCTTTTTTAAACATTTATGTAAGAAAAGTGCAGTGTTTGGTTCCTATCCTTAGCACATAATTTGCATAAAGAATCTATATATTTTTGGCCTACAGAGAATTGTTATACAGGTCAAATGTGTTTTCCTGAAGTTCCTATGCAGATCACAATATATTGAATTTTAGTGGTTTAGCACTAAAAAAAAAAGTTAATGAACCCAAATGAGGAATTGATTAATGGGTTATGCAGATTTTTGTTTTTAGATCATATCACCAAGGTTTCTGTGTATTTTTCCATTGATTTGTGTAGGCCTGGAGTTGTATATTTCCATATGTTTGAATGGTTTAATGAAAGCATTTTACACACACAGCTGAAAGCTGACCAGGATGGTGATTTGGTGGTGCTGGCAACTAAATTTCCTAATTCCAGCCAGTAACTGTGAAATATATACTGAATGTGTGCTTTGCCAGTGAGTGAATGAGACACTAGATGTTGATAGGCTCAGTATCAAAGAAGTGAGATCTAATGCACTGTTCCTGTCATTTCTTCGCTCTATTCTAATTGTCAGGATCTCTGTGGCAAACTCACATCAAACAAAAGATGCAAAAAATATATTCCCAGTAGGATTTAAAATGCGTGGGATTGTATATTTTCAGTTCAACCAATTGAATGAAAACATTTTCTTATTAGATAATCTTCCAATTATTGATTTTAATAGGAAATGCTACATTCTTCCTTAGCAAAGCTATTTACAGGGTTGCCAAACATCCGGAATTCCCCGGTGAAAATAGCATTGGGGGGGAATTATGGGAAATTGGTAAGATGTCCAAGATTGAGGATGATTGCCTAAAAAAAAGTTCAACTTTTGTATACTGAATTTTGCTTCCATAAATATGGCAACCCTACTATTTACCATTTTTGTGTTGGGATATTGGATTAGAAGAAGGTGACATTTCAGTTCTTCATAAAACTTTGGAGTAGGTTGTGGTCTCATTAGCTTTTCAGTTAATGACCAAAGAGTTCACATCATAGTTTGGAGATTTCTGTAACCATACGACTCTGAAGAACCTTCCCAGGATGGGAAAAGTTTATGTAACCAATACTACATAGTAGCTATAAAAGAGAATCAAGTTTGGATATCAAAATCAGAACTCACAAAGAAATTTGCTCCATGTAAACATTTGGTTGTGGGTTTTTTGGGGGGTGGGGTGGGGTTGAAACAAGAGACTCCATAGCTACCCTGTTCCACCATCAGAAGATTCATTTTTTGCCATAGCCTAGAAGAGAATATCGGAGCCTACACTGTACCATTTGATAGATACATAATAGGTTCAGGGGAGTCAACAAGCTTTCCCCATCCTGCTCTTCACTAGCACTAAATTTGTCACTTTAAATTTTAAACCAGGGAATCCCACTCACCATCCTGTACTGTCTTGATTCCAACCATGTCATTAAAACAATATTTTGATAGATCGTAGTCATTCAACTGTCTGACAAAACCTATGATCAAATAATGTACTGGGCACCTTCGTTGCAAAGATGTTTACTCTCTACCTTTATTCATTTTGATTTCTGCATTCCGACACGTATTTTTTTAATAAAGAAAAGAAAGATAAAAATGACTGTTTTTTGCAGTACATTTCTAGATCTACTTTAACTTTACCTCAGAAGAAAAACCATTTGTTGAACATCTTTTTTTCACCCTTAACTTTATGTGTAATGCATTCAGCAGAAAAAAACCAACAAATTTTTAGAAATTTCCCATTAATTTCTGTAACACACCATGTAATACTGTTACAAATAAAAACATTTAAAATCATAAGCATTATTTGCTCTCATTCTTTTGCAGGCTGAATGTGATAGACAAAATATAAAGTTGACCACTTGTCCATTCCTTACTATAGTCCCAATACCATAAAACTGTACTTTTGTAAATATAACATTTGCAGGTTGTGGTGAACTGCTAGTATGTTGTGTTCTTCCACTTGGATCTTGCACTGTGTTCACAAGCCTTTTTCAATGAGTAAAGACACATTCATATACTTAAAAAAATAAAATAGGATTCTGCCTGAAACCCCAGAGAGCCACCTGTCAGTCAGTGTCAACAATATTGACCTAGATGGGCCAACGGTCTGACTTTCTATAAGACAACTTCCTTTGTTCCTCTAATTCTGCTGATGATCACTGTCCTGAGACAATGTAGGTCAGAGATAGTCAGGTGCCTTCCAGATGCTGTTGGACTACAACTTCCATCAGCCCCAGCCAACCTGTTGGCTACCTCCAGGGTAGGCTATCTGTGCAAGCCATAGTTTTAAAAACAATTGGGCTTGCCTAAAACAACATGCAAAGCACAAAGGCATCCGATTGGGCCTACGTTTTGATATATTTTTACTTCTAATTTTTGCCTCTTCTTGCTTAGAAGTAACCAGGTAATTCTGAGATTATATCTCAATGGGGCCTGTAGGTTTAAAATAAATGTGTGTTCAGGAAGATGCAATTTTACCCCCTCTGGTTGTAAACAGAATTGGTTATAAACGGAAATATATACATCATATGACCTCTCTCTTATCTGTGAGGCAGTGAGAAATAACACAAGATACCCTGTTGAGATTTTCCAATTCCCTCCAGGAGCATTACCTATCTCCTTTTGAAATTATTCTGCTGCAGGAAAGGGATATCAGGCTCATTAATGAAACAACTGTCCAGCAATTAGCTTCCCCCAGTTCCAAATAGTCTTATCTCCATGGAAATGTTTGCCTTGCAGCCCATCTATCAAGCTCAAAAAGTTTTATCAGAAAGCTAATAAAACAAATGATGTACTCAAAAGCCATGCCTCTTTGAGGCATTATTAGCAGCAAAATATCTCTCCTTATAAATTGCTATCTCCATAATCCGATTTCATAGCTCTCTTAGACCCAACAACATTTCAGTGCATTCATGTTTCCAAAAGGGTACCCCAGTCAAAAGTTTTAAAAGGAGGGGAAAGCCTGTAAACAGTTGGCGGAAAGAACAATGTTCATACTGAGTATGTTCCTAACAATTAAGACAATGTGGTACTGTGGTGAACAGTTAGTACGGTAAGTGTCAGTTATGCATCAATCCTGGATCTCTAGGTGGTGTTGAATGAGTCCTTTAT